TTAAAATTATCCAGACTTTATACTAAGAGCCAACCGTTTGCATTCGGATAGAAAATGAATCTAGTAAATACACAAAAATAGAAATGGCCGTACGACAAGGAATTGTTTTCTCATTACTATCTATCTAACTATATAATATTAAAAGTCTGTGGTTCGTGATTGCGTGGTGCGTCGTCCGTCCATCCGTCTCTTTCCACTTCTCTCTTTCCACCTATCTGGGATTGCGTGCGTGCTTGCGTGGTGCGTCGTCCACCCGGCGCATAATAATGATTTAAGTTTTTTTCCACCTCTCTCTTTCCACTTCTCTGGGGTTGCGTGCTTACTTGCGTAGTGCGTCCGTTCGACGCATAATGATTTAAATTAATTTGATTTAAGTGAATAAGATTTAAAAATTCGAGTTGTTTATATAGCAAGTATTTTTATTTTACCTTCCTTCAAACAGACAATATTTTTAATTAAACTATTTCTAAGTTAAAGACAGGCAAAAAGAGATCCCGCTTTGCTGTTTCGTCCAGTTGTTTGTAGAGTAATTATTTATATTTCAGCTTTCTTTAAACAAACAATATTTTAAATATTTAAAAAAATATTTTTTGGCATATTTAAAAAAAATATTTTCAAGTGAATATCATTTAAAAATATTTTTTGGCATACTGAAAATATTTTTAAGTTAATCTGACTTTAAAAAATATTTTAAGTGAATAAGACTTAAAAATATGAGTTGTACTTTTATTTTAACTTCCTTGAAACAATGTTTTTTTTATGGTGAAATCAAATTATTATTACCTGAACCGTCAGTGACCCAACGGGTAATCTAGTATATATATATTCAAAATTTACAACGAGTCTTTCCTGAAAGTAATACAAGTCTTACCAGGAGTCATCATTGACGGCTACAGTATTAACAACACAAAATAAACGATGAAATATTGTTGATAGCAGATACAAAAAAGAAACTACAGGAACTTCTCCAGAATTTAGTAAAGGAAAGCGATAAGAAAGAGTTAAACATTAATTGTAAGAAGATAGAATATATGGCTGTCAGCAAAAGGAACGGCACAAGAGATACAAAAATCAAATAAGAAGAAAAATTGAAATATATATATATATATATATATATATATATATATATATATAATGGACTCTCCCGTCGGTTTCGACGCATGACGATCTGACAGCTTATTGATTCAGTTATGAAATTTTGTGCGATAATCTTAAGTAGCATTTAAGACCCGCTAGTGATTTAAAAAAGGAGGCCACAAAATTAGGAATTTATCAATTCAGATCTCTTATATAACTTTTAATAAAACATTTTAACAGAGGAAAATGAAAAATAGACATTTATATACAGAAACCATTCATAGTGCGCTAAAATCGTTTAGCATGAACATCCTGCTGATTAGGGAGCAGGTTAAGTACAATTAAAGCTAAGTTTACATTTTAAATGTAAATGGATTTTGGTTAGTTACAGCGTATTTCCTCTTACTTAGTTGTAAACATTTCTATAAAATGAAGTAACCTGACATTGATTTTAGGGGAGTCTTTTCAAAGAGTATTATTTTTCTTATATCTTATTGGATTCTATCAAGGTTAAATATGAATGTAACAGATTTGTTGGTGTTACGCTCATAGTTACACTGCATGGATATTAACAAAATCACTGGAAGTGAAGCTAGATTGCAAGTATACAAGGACGCTACGTGATGCATTGAAAGTATCCTAGCCTACATAAAAGCAACAAATTCACCCGCCATCACTCAAGACATTCGTGAAAGATTCCTGGAGATGTAAAGATGGACTTTTTGGACGTCCATTGAAAACATACATTCAGCAAATATGTGAAGACAGAGAATGCTAACCTGAAGACCTCGCAGGGTTCGATAGATAATCGTGAAGGCGGTAGAGAAAGAGTCTTGAGGTCCCGTGCGATAGGCACATCATATTGATGACGATGATGATGATCAAAACCACCATTTATGATGATGACGATGATGACGATGATGATGATAATGATGATGATGATGATGATCAAAACCACCATTTATTTTGATGTAACAAATTTTTATTGCTATAGCTAACATATATATCTAGCTAACCAGAATATACGCGCCATGTTCTTAATTAGCCTTGCCAGGTCGAGACTTTCATGGCGCCAAAACTTGTCTCAGAATTATCTAAACTGTATACAACCGCTTTCTAAGATTCATGGTCAAAAATTACTTTCAGAGATTGAAGCCCGCGAGTCTTAACAAAAACCACACTTCTTCGAAACTCGTGGACTGGCGCTACAGAATCACACACAAAGAACTGTGCCAAATAACAGGAAGTACATTATCTGTGGTCTTTCGGCAGCAGCAACATCTAAAATGAATATCATATGTACCTCGAAGAAAGAAATAATGGTATAATGAAGATGCTGATTTTCCACACTACTTTAAAGAAAAGGTTAGGAGGGAAACGCCCCATCAATACTGGAAAGAGCGATAACAGCTACTGGACTTGAGAAACCTATTTTACCGAAAATTGTTTTAAGTGAAAGATTTTATAAATTTCAACCGACAGTAGTACTGGCTGCTCGATCAATGGAAGCCACATGTTTCCTTGTAGAGAAACGGCTAATATTCTTTCTTTTTATATTCCATGTCCTTTCAGGACGTAGGCGATCATGGCTCTCCACCTCCTTCGATCCCTTGCTGCTCTCAACAAGTTCATTCCATCTGCTTCCTCCCGCATACCACGTTCTGTCATCCACTTGCTTAAGTTCGCCAGGAATGTTACGCGTTGTCTCTCTTTCCCTCTATTCGACCCGTGAGTATCAGATTCTCCAGGCCCTCCTCCTTCTTTGCAACCTCTCTAAGACCTCATCGTTGCTCACATGCTCGGTCCATGATATCCTTAGCATCCTTCTGTAGAATCACATCTCCATCGCCTCGAGTCTTTTCTTCACCTTTGAGGAAATCGTCCAACATTCGCTGCTGTAAAGAAGGACAGATGTCACTTAACAGCTCAGTATTCTTTTCTTTGTTACCAAAGATATCCTCCTGTCTCGCATTACTCTGCCGAAGCTTTTGGAATGAGTCCTTGGCCATCCCAATATGTCTACGGATCTCATTGTCGCACTTACCGTCCTCTGTCAAGACGCTTCCCAGATATTTAAACTTCCGTGTCTGCTTGATTCCAGTGTTCTCGGCCTTCAAATCGCATTTCGGGTTCATCCTTTTACTGATGACCATGCATTTTGTCTCCTTTTAGTTTATGCTTTGTCCCTTCTTCACACTCTCCGTCGGTACATTCTGTAGGAGATTTTGTAATTGCTTTTCCGTGTCTGATATCAGTACTGTGTTATCTGCGTATATTTTAAGATTGTGGCCGCCAATACTAAATCCCAATAGGGTTTCCAATTCTCTCAGAATTGCCTCGCTGTATAGGTTGAACAGGTCGGGTGAGAAGACGCATTGCCGTTAACGAGGAAGGTGATGTAGTCAAAAGAGAATTGTTTCGCCCAAATATTTGCTCACATATTTAATCATTGTAGCATACAGGTAACGAGAAAAATATAATTGCCGATGGGACATTGTGCAGGTAATCACATTCCGAGGGTTGGTGCCAAAATAAGGACGTTAGTGTCAGTTATGTGCCATGGGTGATACACGCTTAGGCGATCATGACTGACGAGGCAGATTTTTTCCCGCAGTAGGTTGCCATTTCTTTTTGCGGTAGAGCAGTTGCCATCCAAGGCTATAGATCCCGGTCTGTCCTGCTATTTACCCATAGCTGGAGGGAGAAGAAAAGGATTAATACCTTTCTCAAGGGTATTAGCACCTAAGTGAATGTAATGGATTCGACTGGAATTCGAACTCGGCTCTCCGATTCCTCAGTCCGCTATCCATTACTCCACCGTGCCTCCAATTATTTGTTAAATAAAGCGTTCAGTTCCGAACTACCAGAATGCATATCGGCAGAAATGTTATGTAAATAACAACAAAGACAATGATAATAGTTCGAATATCAGTCAGTCAGTTATGTGCCATGCGTGATACACAATTAGGCGAGCATGTATCTTTCGATACATGACTGACGAGGCAGATTTTTTTCTCGCAGTATCTTGCCATTTCTTTCTGCAGTAGACCAGTTGCCATGCATGGCTATATAACTTGGTCTATCCTGCTATTTACTTATAGCTAGTGGGGGAGGGGACAAGAAGATGATTCATACCTTTCCCAAGGGTATTAGCACGTAAATGAATGTAATGGATTCGACTGGAATCCATTACATTCATTATTCCATGACGTTAGTTTTATTGCAAAATGAACATAAACAAACTCGAACAAAATTCGAACTCCGTTTGCCAGCTGCATTTTCCGTATTAAAATCTGCTGACTCGCCAACACAAAAAAGACATCCTTTACTACTTTTGCACGATACTTAGCACATCTTTCGTGAAATTTGACCTTGTGCCAGACAAAGCTGAGTTCCATAAGTATCCTCACAGAGTTAAGAAAATTGGCTGACGCACACGCGCGCGCAAACACACGAACGCACACATATGCAAATTATTGTTATGCATGATAAGTATATTTTAATGTTTGAATAGAAATTTACGCATATTCAACCCTAATCATAACAGATAACTAGCTAAAAAGAACTAGATTTTTCATTCTTCATTCATTGACACATGAATAATTAGTGAAAACCGTTCAAAATATGTTGTTTTTTTTAATCTTCCGATATCAATGCGTTTGCTTGCTTGCTTGTTTGATTGATTCGTTTTTTACGGTTTACCAACCTTTTTTTGCAGGTTATTTAAAACCAGAAAATAATTTTAGATTGAATTTTCTTCTTTTTTTTTTTTTTTTTGTTGTGATAATGAGTTTAGTGATACAAGTGTTTCTAATTAACCCATAGCTGGTGGAGAATTTGTAGATATATATATTTAATCGGAAATAGGAAATCGAATTAACAATCTCGGGCCATTATCCATTACATCACCTGCACATCAAATATTACATCACCAGGTATTCTCAAGCGGTCACTCATCTAGATACTGATCAGGCTCGACGTTGCTTAACTTCGGTGATCGTACAGGAAGCTGTGTTTCGATGTGATATTTCTATTATTTTATTGTTTTCACTACTTAAAGTTTTTACTATGTCATAAATTCTTTCAAACTTGGTAACTCCACCGCATCTTGGTGGCTTTATCGCCTTTCTTGAAATGATTTTTGAAAAAGTTAGGTACTGATCATGCTAGACATTGCTTAACTTCGATGATCGTATGGGGACTGGTTTTCCTGGAATACATGCTAATGTCACATTTCTTCAAAGGTAAACCTTACACATTCCGAGGATTAATGTAAAATTAGGGTATTTGCGAAAAATGAACATAAATAAACTGTGACTCGGTTTGCTGACTGCATTTACAGCGTTAAAATCCGCTGCCTCACTAATACAAAAATAAACAACTCCATCACAACAGTTGCATTAGCGCGCGTGCGCGCGCGCGCACACACACACACACACACACACGAGCTTCCAATGATTTTCATCTTGTGCCAGACAGAGTTAACATTCTTAAGAGTCAAGAATATTTGCAAGCACAAACACACACACACACTAGCGCACACGTGCGCGCATGGATGTGGACGCCATGAAGGCAAAGAACAAAATAAAAAGTCGTTTTCTGCGCATAGGGTATGAGCATCACATCCGATCCACGAAACAAGCTCCTGTAATGTAAACGACACTAGCCAATCGAGAATGTTTACGCAGAAAAGAGACTGCCAGATCTGCTTAAAAACAGGACTTCCAAGCAGTTGTTGACCGTTAGACCACTAGACACTCAGGGTGGTGCAGTTGCTGCCGCCACCATGACCGCTGTTCTAGATATGACCGTTACCATTCCCAAGCTTGACTAATCAACCTACTAATCACAGCGATTCCGACTCCGCAAACAAGCAACTCGGACTCCGCAAGCAGCGACTCGGACTCCGCAAGTATTCAACCCTCTCGTGTTACCACCGTTTCGGAGAAACATGTGCTGACCAGCAAGCAGCAATTCCGACTCCGCAAAGAAGCGACTCCGATTTCGCAAGCAGCCACTCCGATTCTGCATGCATGTAACCCACTCGTACAACCGCCGTTTCATAGAACAGGCCTAACAGCTAAGCCAATCCCTCGTCACCTTGATAACCATCGCACCACAAATCAACACACCACCGTGATTTCGATCGATCAAGACAGGCGAACGACCATATACTGTGACCGACGTCAAACTAATACAAGAAATCTGGCCACTCCCGGTGCTACCCTTCCGCGTCGTCAACGCCGTCATCTCGGCAAATCCGACTCTGTAAGACAGCTTATTATATATATTAAAGAATTGCACGTTGTTCAAAAACCTAATCCTCGTTATTTCCTTCCTTTCACAACCAAAGGCTTATTAAAACAATGATGTTCATTTAAATAGACACGTGAATAATTACTGAAAACCGTTGAAAATATGTTTTTAATTTTCTGATATAGACGTGTTTACCCTGACTCCTTATACGTAAATATAACGAGAAAATGATAAATTGTTATATCAAAGTGGGTACTTAACCATTTCTGCTTGGATGAATCAAAGGCGACATCCGCAGTATTTAGCAAAACATTGAGAAGCGAAGTTGAAATGAAGAGAACATGTTTTTTCAAAGAAATCTCATGAAGTTATTATAATATTTAATGTTCTTTATTGATTTGATGAGTTTCTTTTTTAACAGCTTATCAATCTTTTGCAGGTTTTTTTTTCTAAAAAATCATAAAATATTTTTAGAATGCAAGAATTTTCTGAAGGTTCTACCTGTGAGAAAAGAGGTGGATTCATACATTTCCCAAGGGTATTTGCGAGAAAGGAAATATAACGAACAAAACTGGAATTGGAAATCAGCTATCCGGCTTCCAATTCGAAGTCGTTATCCATTACACCATCCAAACTTACAGCATATAATATTCCTAAGTGGTAAGAAGAATCTGCAATATTAGTGGCCGTGACCTGGCATCTTATCTTCAGTTACTTTCCCACCGCCATAATGTAGCTCCCCTGTGCCTTTTCTATAAATACTTATTTGTCAATTATTATAATGAGCTTTCCTCTGTGGTATATAAATTATATCCATTGTAAATATTCATTGCGATTTCATTTTAATTTCAGACAAAAATGTACATATAGGAAATAGTTAGGACTACATAGATATTTTACGGTGGGGTACGGTTAGGGCTGTAGTAAAAATGGTGGAGTAATGGATAGCGGCTCGGGTTGAGTAATCGGAGAGTCGAGTTCGAATTCCAGTCCCATCCATTACATTCACTTACGTGCTAATATCCTTGGGAAAGGTATGAATCCTCTTCTTCTCCCCCAGCTATGGGTAAATAGCAGAACAGACCGGGTTCTATAGCCTTGGATGTCATCTAGTCTACTGTAGAAAGAAATGGCAACCTAGTGCAGAGAAAAAAACCGGCTTGCCAATCATGTATCGAAAGATACATGATCGCCTAAGCCTGTATCATGCATGGCACATAACTGAGTAAAAATGGTAAGTAAGAATGTGTTGTTTTGGTGTAAGGAATACTGTAGTATGCTTGGGTCAGTAATCGCGACTAGCTAAGTTTAAGAAAAATAACAGACAGAAGACCCCCCTTTTGGCCTTGTGCCACTTTTTTGTATTATAAAAAAAAAAAATTACTTTTTTCTATGATACCTAGACTTTATGGATTTAAGTGCAGTACTAGATTGGGTAGATGTAACCGTAAGTTCTATGCCAACAGTTTCTTCTCTCGCTAGTAAAAAACTCTCTTCCGGCACCATGTTTTCCAGCCGACTTTGATTTTCACAAATTTAAATGCCATGTCACTTGTTTCTTCTATTTTCTTAATTTCTGTTCTTTTATTGTTTTCACTTTTCCCTATTTCTTAAATTCTTTCAGACACAGTAACTCCACTGTATCTTGGTGGCTTTATTGCCTTCCTTGAAATGCTTTTTGAAAATCTTAGGTTGCTTAACTTCGGTGATCGTATGATGTTGATAATATGCAATGGTTATTATTAGTAGTAGAAGTAGTATTTCCTTTGATTTATGTTGTATACACATTTCCTTCCGTGTCTCAACCGCAGATCTAAGGTCAGAAATGGATTCTTGATATTTTCCACTGATTTTTTGTAAAATATATATATATATATATATATATATATATATATATATATAAGATGTATTTTACATGTGTGTGTGACAAATATCAGATAGAGTATATCTGTGAAAGGACAATATGAATAAAGACAAAAGGAAAATATATCTTAGCTGACGATACAAACACACACAATAAAATATGATTTAAATATATAAGATAAAAGTGCTCAATATCCTGGCCTGGATAGAGCACATATAAATATAAGCAGTGGAGACACAGTTCAACACCGAATGGCGACAGTCTGTTTCATGCTTGAATGCAATATTCAGTATATGAAGACTGTGTTCAATTGCTTCGTCCACCGCAAGGAAAGTTGTCTCCCTGTGCCGTGCCAGGAATTTTTCTCCCCGGAATCGATCCTCTAGATCTACAAATCAACAATTCGCCCTTGCATAGTGTATTGCTGCCATATATGGTCTGGAGCCCCTTCTGTTTGCCTCGGGGTTCTTGATAGGCTCCAGAGGTGGATATGCAATATAATTGGCCCTGTTCTGGCATCTCGTCTACAGTCGCTCTCTCACAGACGCGCCGTCGCCTCTCTCTGTCTTTTTTTACAAATACTTTCAAGGTTATTCCTCCGAGGAGCTGCATTCGCAGGTTCCCAGACTTCATGAGTTCAAGCGTCCTACGAGGCTGGCATCCCGCTCTCACCCTTTCATTGTCGAAACTCCTAAATGTAGCCGTCACTTCTACTCCAATAGCTTCATACCTCGCACCTCTCGCCTGTGGAACACCCTTCCCTATTCCAGTTTCCCTGAGAGCTATAATCTCCAACTATTCAATCGACATCTCCAGTTGCCTTGATCTATCCACTATCCTTCTCCTCATCCTTTCCTCTATCACTCCTATCTGATCTTGCTCCAAATCTCCCGTAATCCCTTACGTCCTATTGGCTTCCCGCCTTGCTTGGGGTGAAACGCTTAAAAAAATAAATAAATTAACCTGTAATCCCAGCAAAATATATAACTACGCCAACATTAGAATAACCATATATATTATAATTCAAAGCGTATAACGGTCAGTGAATGCTCAGCACCTGAAGATTGCATTGTGCATGAAACTAAAAATCATGCTAGCGGTGAGGGATAATATGTATTTATTAATATATACTTGATAGCTCTGTTATATTATAGTGAACACTGTTTTATTTACTATATGTGCGATATGCTCCTGAAAAAATTATTTCGGTTGAGCTCTCGGGGCGAAAATGTGACTTTGTAAACAGTGACTATTACTGCTGCTAATGCAAGACTTTTTGATAAAAACGAATCGAGTTCTCCCAGTCATTGGCTTGTTTATCTATAAATAAATATGTTTAAATTAAACTTCATCCCCGCCATGCGCCAATGACTTAGTGCTAGATTCTGCTACTAATACCAAATCTGTCGGGTTTTCATCCTGGGTTAAGACAATAAGACGTCTAATCACACTGATGAGCTGCGAATGACAATATATATATATATATATATATATATATATATATATATATATATATATATATATATATATTGAATTTTTACAATACACAATTTTAATTCAAACATTTTTCAGAATTTTCTATTGTTCATGAAGCAAATATTCGAGCGATTTTATTGCATTTTGTTATCATTTCACCCTAAGCAAGGCAATAAAGACACTAAGAAACAAAGGCTTACTACGTAATAGAAAACCTATTAACTATTAAGGAGAGAGAACAATAAAAGAACAAAAATTAGGAAGACAGTAGATAACGATTGACATTGCATTTCAGTTTTTGAAAATCAAGTTAACTGAGAAGCAAGTAGCCGGAAGAGAGTTCAGCAAGCGAGAAGTGCAACAATGAGAAACTGTTAGCATAAAACTTATGTTTACATCTAGCCATTTCATCTGTAAAAGGAA